TATTTTCCTCATTATATTTCTGAAAGCAATAAGAACTTTATTATCGCTGAAATGCATGACCTTTAACGGTGATCTATTGATTGGTTGAATCGTCACATTATGCAGTATAAAAATATAGAAATAAGAGATAACTAAAAGAAAGCAATTTCTTTGGAAGTTAAGATAAACATTTTACTCTCTTAAGAATGTAAAAGGTTCAATATCTGAAGCTAGGGAGTTTAGTTTGAATGAAGCCACAGTGAGAACGATAAAAAAACGAGTTGTTATAAGACAGTCTCGATGTCTTCAGAATCAAAAGCTGGTGCAAAACTAACATAATTAATTCACAAGAGATATTATTATAGAAAATAACCTTAAATAAACAGACTTGATCATTAGATTATTGCAATATTTTAGTCATAATACATTAAAAGAATTTTCCATTTTATCATGGGTACACTTGATAAAGACAAAACATTTAGAATTATGGACGTGTCCGTGTGTGTGTGTGTGGAATTCAATTATGGATTGCACACAATATGTTGGTGTGGCGTTACCAAAATTAAAGTCATCAACTCTGACTCTAATATTGGTGGCAACAATTTCAAAAGTGATTCGCCATTTATAGTGAATCAATGGAAAATGCCAGAATGAAATTAATAGCCCCTCAGGGCAAATTGCTCCTTTGGGTTAATAATAACTTGTATAAATAAATAAATGACTCTTTAAGATTTGTCCTCTGTTTCCATCAGACTCCAAATTAACACATAAAATTGTCATAAACTGTCCTGTTATTGTATTGCGTGCGTACGGGTTCGCAACAGATTGAATGCACTCAGAACTGATATCCTCAAATATAATACAGGGCTCTAATATTTGGTAGCAACAATTTGAAAAAAAAAAAAAAAAAACCCGGCTGATCTTTAGAATATGGTAACTGGTAATTTGGCGACATTTTGGAGGCGATAAAGGTTACTACCTGGGACTTTGGTAACAATGTGAGCAGTACTCAGTTCCGATTACGCATTATTTTGTGTGAGGGAAATGAGAGATCATGGGATATGTCATGTGATATTAATGGACGAATTACGGTTCTTTAATCGGAAAAGGGGGGAATTTGGAAAAATATCTGTGGCGTATATTATTTTGTATTAAGCTTCATTGTGTGTTGTGTGAAGTAGGGTTGAATAATTTGGGGATTGTATGGCGCTGTCTAAAGTGAATTCTAGATGTGATAAAGAGAATTTTGCTTTTTATTTAGCAGAGGAAGTGTGGAGGAAAATTTCGGAGAAAAAATTGTTCAATAATTTTATTGAATCCATAATAAAAGTGTATCCACCATGTAAGCAAGATTCTGAAGAAGATTAGGTAAGTTAGTATTTTTAATTATTTGAGGATATTATTTTTATGCATTGTTCTAAATGTAAGGTGGAAGTAAAGTAATTTGGTATTATTGGGAAAATTGTTATTAGCAATGATTTAGTTTAAAGTAATTAGGATTGTAAGCTAATTTTTATTAATTTAATGTATGTGCTCATTTATATTTTAAGTAGTGTTTTTGAATTTAATTATATTTTAAGTAGTGTTTTTGAATTTAATTATATTTTAATTAAATGATAGTTATTTTGTGAATTTTATGTTTGTAGGAATTTGGTATACGTTTTAGTTGAAAGTAAACGTGCATGGAAATAATTTAAATATTTGACACTAAGTATTTGTAATGCTTGCGGTATGAATTCGTTGGTGACGTTTATAATATAATAGATGATTTAGAGGTAAAAGTTTTTGGATATTTTATTTATTTTATATGTGGAAATGTTCATATTTGGAAAGGGTAATATACTTTTTCGCGATCAGGTAATTTCATATATGTTCTTTTTACCGGGTTTAAAGATTGAGAAAATTGTCATGTATTTTCGTGAAATTTTTTTCTAATTTATGAGAAAAAAGCAGTGTACATGGATATAGTGAAGAGTGTGCGCAATGGCCATTTTGTGCAATTCTGGGATTTTTTTTTTAAGTAAAAATAAGTCGACGTGTGTACATGGTTTATGTGTATGTGTTATTTTGAAAAACGCGTAAGGAGTATGGTATTGTGCACTTTTTCCCAATTTTGCAGTGAATATTTGTCATGATTAAGCAGTTTTGTTAGATAAAATTTCTAGCATAAGTGTAATTCGGCTAGTAGATTGTTGGAAGAAGTGTTCAGTAGATAAAAAGAAAAGAAACATGTCTTTACTTCGTGAAGACAAAATGGCAGCGGGGAAAAAAAATAGAGGGTTGCTGTAAGAGAGTTGGTCGCCAAATTTTCACCAAAAAATCGTCAAGTTACCATAATCTAAAGATCAACCAAAAAATCTTTTAAAGTTTTCAACGCAAAATGCCAAAACGAAAATAATAGTTATTCAGGGAAAATTGCCCCTTTGGATTAAAAAAAAAGAGGCTTTGAAAACCACTTGCCTTTGACTAAAATCTTTCTGAGTACATAAAAAAAGAACCGTATCAAACGAGACTATGTGCAATTGAGTACGCCAGCTTTCTCTAAAGCCATGTTAGCTAAATGGGCAATTTGCATTGACATAGTGGTTCACCCGGCAAAGCTAAGTCCATCTGGTGTACTCTGTAAGCTTAACGGTTAACCGAAACATATCACGCCTACAATTGTAGTGCTAATCTCTCTCAGCTTCTCAGACCTTTAGATTATCAGTGGAAGATTAATTCTGTTTACCTTGCAGGCTTTCTATAGAAGGATTACGTGTCCGTTTTAACCGCCCTTTCAAGTGCCCGAGTATAATTATGGGGCATTACTTGCAGGGTTCTCCGCGGTTTTGCCGCATTTCATAACCTTCATTTTAATGCCGGAAATTTAGTCTTATGCAAAGATGGCTTTTCTTATTATGGTGCGCTCAGAATCGGTATTTTTAGTAGCCCGTAATACTCTGATGAAGTACAGAAAAGGTGACATAAAATGCATTCAACTTAGAATCAAAATTCTAGTTTTACCAGCTGCTCATAACCTTTCATATTAAATAAGACTTTCATATTTTATTTGAAATATTATTCTTTCTTCACATAAATTAAAATAATGAACATGCTGAAAACTCCGCACTGAACACAACGTTTTAAATAGAAGAGAAATACGGAAATGTAAAATTTAAAATTGGGCAAAAAAAGTAACGTTAGTTTGGGGTCGATTTTGAATAAAACTTACTGATTTCGAAGGACGATCAGAAACAGGTCCTCTTTTCTTACGCAGGAGGAGGAAAAAAAAGAAATAATTTTTGTTCGAAATGGTACTTTTATACTTAGGTAAAGGCTTATTTCAACGTAAATCTTTTTCCAGCTATTACAAGCACCTCACATAACCTTAGAGGAAACCACACATACAAAATTAAATTTGCCGCCCAACCGTGACGGTGGTTACCGATGCTGACTGCTGTACCGAAAGGCCCGAGTTCAAATCCTGGAGAAGGCATGCCTTTTTGTAAATGTGTAGCGTCTGGGCGACCTGGAGGCACTCTAAATATTCGGCGAGCCGAAAGTGCTCTCCAGAGTTTGGTGGTAACGGGAAGAGGGGTGAAGACCCTCGGACCCGTCCACTTCGGGGGGTGATCTCCATCAAAATTATATGTGGAACGGAGCAAAGTCGTATTGCCACCTGTGTGGTGCTGAAATCTCTTGGCAACGACAGGTGCAATCTTGCACTCCTTGCCACCATGAATTTCGTGGGCTTGCTCTGATGTTATTGTCAGACAAGTCACAACAAAGCGCTGGAGGCAGGGATATCTTCGTGGAGGACTTCCTGAAAGAAACTGGCTCGTACACACATTACACACGGGTAAAAACACAAGAACGCCCATGCAGCCGGCCCGTTCGCGGGATTCGAACCTCGGACCGAATTGTCAGTGTTCAACGACTTTATCGCTCAGGCGCTGATAAGCGATTTTTGAAAAGAATGAAAGTTAACAGATGTATTACATACAGGCAAATAGTTATACATTGGAACCTCCAGATACGAGTTTAATTCGTTCTAGCAGTGAGCTCGTATAGCGAATTTCTCGTATCTAGAAACAAACTTAAAATAATGGAAATCCAGTTAATCCGTTCCGCACCCTAAACAATATCATCATAAAAATCTATTTTTCTAATAAATAACACTAAATAAATAATATAACCATAGTTTACCTTTATGATAGCTTCCGACACCGACCTTAACAGCTTCTCGTTAATCCACACCAACAACAGCTTCTAGAAGTTTTGGACAGTGTTTGGAAGTAACGGTAACTCCTTTGCCTACCTCAAGTTTGTTTCTTAATTTCTTCCTTATTCTTCAGAATAGATCGTCGGTGTCGAAAGGCCGTAAGTCTTTGCCAATTCCGTCACTCTTTCACCACGCGTATGTTTATCTGATTTCTTTCTTAATTTCAACGCCCATGGCTTCCTTATTTTTCTTTGCGGCACTATCTGAGGCAACAGTCTTTTTGGAAGGCATCGTGAAATAATTATTTTCACGTTAAATGTAATAAACAATTAATTTACAAGCGCACAAACACGTAGATCAAAGAACAAACACCGAGTGATCTGACGAGGGGATTCCCCGAGTCGAGCCGGATCGGGAAATGGCTCCACGCATACCAACAGCCAGGCTCGTTACTCGAGTCAATGTTCGTATTTAGAGACAAATTTTTCGCTCATATTTTTCTCGTATCTCGAATATAGAGGTGCACGTATGTCGAGGTTCCACTGCATATTAAAATGATGAAGATTAATTCCAGTACACTAAGTTAGAGGATCTCTTACTTAAGACATATCTCAACGGATGAGAAAAATCATGGCTGTCTAAAATGATTTTTAGAAAGGAAAATCATATTTCATGAAATCTTAAACGGTCTGAAACAAGTCATAGAAGAATATGCACATTAAGCAATTATATAACCTTATGGTATAGTTTTTATAAAACTGAAAAAAAGGAAAAGGAATATTCTTTCACTTTTCGGATTTGTTACTGCGATAGTATTTACCTGACAGGTTGAGTTCTATCTCCATTGCGCCGGTCAACTTCTCTTTGTGGTACTCTGTACCACCGGAAATTCATCTTCCAGTTGAAGCCACCCCAGGTCATGTCTGAAGCCGGGACATATTCGAAACTAGTGTCACTGATCACGTCAATTATAGGGCACACAACTCGGGTTCTAAAAGAATCAACAATCATCAGTCACATTTCCAATCTTTCTAATAATTCATATACCAGTTCTCCATTTCATTTGCATGAACTAGGTGGTGAAAAACATTAGGACACAGAATAGCAATTCAAAACAAAACAACAACACCAACAAAATCAAGGCTTTCAGATTTTATATTAAAACCAAATGGGCATTTTTTTAACATTTTTGGTGTTACCTTTACTTATTAAGTATTATGTTCTTGTAATTATTCCCTAAAAAATTATTAAATAAATTTTAATTGATGAGAAGTGTGGGGAAAATGGTCTAATGTCAGCAACTTCTGTCAAGAATATTTTCATGAATTTTGCATGCAAACCTATGCCAATTTTTGTCCTTAACTCAATAAAACAACGTTTCCCAGTTGGTGAGTTGCGATACTCTGATATACAGCGAAGCATAATCAGCTGTCGCGAAATTTTTAAATTAAAATGCATTTTGTGGAATGTAGACAGGCTCTGCACAAAGACTTTGTTTGGCTTTTTCATTTTTATTGAACCACTTTTTCCATAATTTTTTTATTATTTACTTTTTTCTGGATCACTACTTCCGTCTTGGGGGGGGAATAAAAGAGGGAGGGGACAGTTCTATATCTTCCTTTCTGCTGTGCCGATTGTTTTTTCATGTCTCGAAAGCCTGACTTAGGATATGTATTAGATTTATATACAGCGTTGTTCTAATATATGTATTTTGACACAGACTTTTTCTGAAATGACATGCCAATGTTTTTTTTACATATTTCGATTCTACTTCTCAAATTATGAGAAACTGCCAAGTTTAGTAGAAATCGCACGATTAGTTTTTAAAAAATTAGCTCTCAAAATTACAGCTCCTCAATGTTAAATGAATGAATTGGTATATATTTACTAATATCTACTTTTTTATTAAACTTTCTTGATTCTTCCTTCCACATTTCGAAATTTAAGTTCATTCCAAATAAAATTCGCCCCTTTTTAAGATTATTTTAAATTTTAATTTTTATAAATTTTTCGAAAAAATTTGAAAAAACCTATTACGTTTTACCATATCTTAAAATAGATATACCGGAAAAAACAAAAAAAAAAAAAAAAAAAAAAGAGATTTTGTTCAAATTCTTAGATATAGCATGTGAATTCCCTGGCGGTTTAAAGTGGCACTTTGTTAAAAGCGATAATAACGCCAAATGTGATTGTAAAAATTATTTGAAAGTATGAACAATGACCTTTGTTTCTGCTTCTATACAATGAAAAAAAAGAAAAGGAAAATAGGTTACTATAAATTCGAAATAAGATAAATTTTTAAAGTTTTCCATAAATTTCTCACAAAAAATTACAAAATTAAATATCTAGGCATAATTTGAGTCATAGAATCGAAATATGGAAAAAAATTGGCATGTCATTTCAGAAACAGTCCGATTTTGTGTCAAAATGCCTATATTAGAACAGTCCTACATATAAATCTAATATTTATCCTAAGTTGGCTTTCGAGACATGAAAAACTCAATTTAAATTTCGTCAATGGGCCCAATAGAACGGGAGATATAGAACTGTCCTTTTTTTTTTTTCTTTCTTTCTGTTTTTTGTTCGCAGTGTGTATCAAAATGTTGTTAATCTCAAAGACTAAAGCGGTATATATTTTTAAAAACTCTTTTAAAGTTATTTTATTGACAACCATGAACGTGTAAAATTTTCCACTACTGAATTTCCGCGAAATGCGCTATAATTAATTGCCGGGCGCCTAGCAATTCTAAAATAGCTAACGAACTCAAAGTCAGAAAATCCGTTTTCTACACAGTCCGACTGCAATTATAGTCCGAAACTGTGACTATAGCAACAGGACCACAATTACAGTCTGGAAACTTTTTCAGAGACTTAGGACTATAATTAAACCTATTAACGAAAATTTCTGGATATTTTTAGTTTC